AAAGTGGTCACAGCAAATAAAATTATTACGTAACAAATACACTCGATATATACTTATATATATACACACATATATCCATATGCATGCATGTACGCAATGTAAATCACATATATCCCAATACCTGCGCCATGAAATGATCGCCCATTAAACAAACGCGTCCACAAGTTTACGCTTTAATGAGTTCGAATTAGAATTGAATATGTCAATATCAAGTCACTCCTGCTCAACACATCGTTCAAACTCTTGCAAGCCCTATACTGAAAACTATTTTGTCTATACTTAGTCCTCGCCAGCGGAACTGCAACATCATGTTAGTATCTCATGGAACACGTAGGTATATTAAACACAATGCTACTCAGTAATTCACAACAAGTACAACGATGTCTCTGATAATTGAGAGCACGCGGAAAATTTAGAGTGTTTAGTGGTTTAATTCCAAAAGCGTATTCAGAGTCTGAAGATGAATGACATTGTGATACGACGAGACGAACAAGTCGTGCGCTTCGTGGCAAGTGACACTCCTGTCCATAACAGGTGCAGTGACACTCAGAGCTTTAAAGTTACAAATATCTGAGAGACACCGCTACTGCGCCCGTCACCCTGAGACATAAGTTGACAAGTCCTATATGCCTGTAATTTCACCAGTACCCTTACCCTATAAAACCGAAACGCAATAGTGCTTGCATCAAATACTAAATAAATATTGGACACTGAAGTCAAAAATAGATAACAAGGACATTGCTTATAAAATTTTCATTAGTTTTTTATTTTTCGAACTATACTTGTTGAACGTGATTGATTGAAATGATTCAAAATGCATTCTTATAAATTGTGTATCACTAAAAAATAAATGTATTGGAATTTTCTATATTTGTCATGGGATTTGAAAAGTAAATTGTAAGGGAATTTGTAGCGCCTTAAGTTATGGTCTTCCACGAGCCTATGTCTAAGATATTCAAGGGCTCCGTCACTCGCCCAAGGTTACGCGATAAGTGCGTACCGCTGAGAGTACCGACGTCGGCACAAGCGCTCATACAAGTCTTTCATTTATGAGCATTCGGCTCCGCACAAATGCACACGGCGAGCAACGTTATTTTCACCTCTCTGAACGCGTGCTTATGTTCCTTTTTCCTCGTAGTGAGCGCCTAGTGTCATTAATCAGATTTAGTAGGCTATTATAGCGTAGGTATTTTCGATTTTGTATGACAGTGATGTATCTGTTATATAATAACTATTAAGTAATCTGTGGTTCGACATCCCATCTGGCAAGCGCAGCTTTACAAGTCGTTGGACATGAGTTTCCCTAAAATTGGATAAACGGTTTTTATTTGTCTCGACAAATATGACAGAAACGAAACTATTTTTTCAGATCTAAATCACGTATGTTTGGTTTATCAAACATACCAACGTTTCGGGATACAGATCCCATGAGCCGTGACTTTGATTTTATTTCATATTAATATAGATCTGAGAGATTTATCTTTTTTCAATGTGTATTAAGTAGGTATTGTTTAGGTATAATGAGGAGCAGAATAATATGGTTATAGATTTCTGTATAGTACTACCGCCTCGGCTTCACTCATTTTCATACTATCTAGAATAAGGGATATAAGTTAAATTACAGGCACGTGCTACTTGTCAACTTATATTTCAAGGTGACGGGCGCAGTGGCAGTGCCCCTCAGATCTATGCGATTAAAGCTCTGAGTGGCACTGTAACTGTAAGAAAAACTGTTTTGCTAGATGAAATGGTTGAGGTATTTACTATTAAATGGTATTACGAAAAACAGAAAACAGAAGTGGCAAAAAACCGCCAAATATTGTAGACTTATTGTACTTACATCTTTCCAAACTGCTTTTCTTGTAGGTCAATATAAAATAGGGGTTCAGAAAAAGGCTATTTTGTTTAAATTATGAATACGATCTATAAGATTCGATTAGACTTAATGTTGCATCGATTTATTTGAAAATCGCATTGAAATGAATCGATACAAAAATCTCTAGATCGTATACCCTTGAATCGTAATGTGCATCCCTACGCCGCACCTCGCGCTGCCCCGTCAGTCGCCATCGAGCGCTTGTCGACGTCGGTTCTGTGTCAATTTTTCTCCGCCTGTTCTTATTTTATTCATATTAATTTTCAAAGCGCGGGACGCTAAGGGCGGCCACCCACACCTCACCCCCTAAAATGTAGGTTCGCGTTAAAATACCTCTCCTTAAAAGCACAGATGCAGCGCCACAGTTGCGTCACGCGCACGACCACAGATTAGATATTGTATGAAAATTAATAAAATGCAGCGCTGAAGCCCTTCAATTAGAAGGCGCCAAATATCAAACTACAGTACAGCCAATACCAAACTGTGTATGGTTTATCATTTGTTTCGTATCCTTGGTACAATAAAATCACACGAGATCATACGTCAAAACTGAAAATCTTTTATCACGTGAAAATCATGAAAATAATACGAACTACATGACACAAGTAATAAGTACATTTGAAATTTTATAACTCTCCTATTCAAGCATAAAAAGTTATCAACTAATTTCGTTTGTAGAATCCTTAAACCTCTTTTCTGAAAAGTTGTCTTCTCCAGATGTATCATCATTACATCAAGGGCGCGATTTGCATACTACATACAGTATTCACGTTTAGACCAATCCCTTTTTTCACCCAAGTTACGGCGAAGCCATAAAGAGAGCAATATTTTTTACCCTATTTTTGTTGTATTTATTGAGTTTGCTGGACATTGAACTTTAAGTATATTTATAATAACATAACATCTGGCTGCAAAATTAATATAAGAAACGTGATTTTAAATTCAGGAGTTGAAGTTTAATTTAAAACATTTTTTATGATAATAAGTGATCTAGTGAACCAAACCAACCCATTTATTTACCACACACAATAATACAAAACATAACATATAACAATACTGTACTGTTACTGATTTTGTGGTACTGATTTTCAGCTTGACCTTGTTGACACATTGTTTTTATAACATAACCAAATTCAATAACACTACCGTCACGACGGTGATAAGCGATACGCGGTGAGAAACCCCCATAACAGTTGCATGAGAAAAATAAATGTATGCCATACAAATATTCCTACCGGCCCAGGAATCGAACCCGGGATATCTGCGTAGCAGAGTAGCATTGTAACCGCTCGGTCACGGAATCAAGAGGAGAGCTTTAATCGCAAAGATCTGAGTAGCACTAACCACTACGCCCGTCATTCAGAAACAAAGTTGACAAGTCCCTTAGGCCTGCAGTTTTACCAGCATCCTTTAGAAACCCGAACTCAGTAACACTCAACAACAGCTTTGCAGCCGAAATACTCAATACTCAATCTTTATTGCTTTTCCATATGTTTACAAGGTGTTACAAAGTACATAATATAATATAATAGATCATGTATGGACCCTGTCGGGCACAGCAAATGAGAGGGAGGCATTTTTAATAATTGGTAATAGATAAAATATATTGAGGTGAAATATTTTATGAGCATGTATTTAAGTATTATTTATTTTTATATATAGCATTTTTTACTTATTTATATATATTTGCTTTTTAATGATTAAAAATAGTTATTTAAGTAAATATTATTATAAAATACGTATGTTTCCAGTACTTCTATGGACGAACTCTATTCCAAAGGAGCTCTACTGCTACTAATTTAAATACTTTCAAGAAAAAGACATGTTTTAGGCAACCGCGTATCATATCGTCGTTGTATATACATATCGTCGTATTCTATCGGTCGGAGATTGTGAACAATTGCAAACCTATAATATTAATAATAAAGATACTACCAAATTATATACGAAAATAGCCAAATCTTAAAAGTACAATGGGCATAATTTCGTCAAAGATCCGTCATCTATTTTCAATAATACCGAAAGGGCATCCACCCCTTACAAGATGCCAATGAAATAAGTCGCATAGAAATTGGTATCAGCGAAATTAAATTTTGTTGCTTTAGTTATTTATATAAAAGATTTATAATGCTTTGTTTATTTATGGATTAATTTCTGGACCGTTTGCAAATAAAATATGGATTTATGAGAGCGTTGAACCACATAAACGACTTAGTTTGCAATTAACTCAAAAACGGGTATGAAAACAACTTAATCACTCAAAAATAGCTAAAAGTTTCCTAGTCTTAATAATCCATTACAATAAACATCAGTTGCGTACAAACAGTGGCGGATTTGCAGTCTTGGCCGCCCTACGCCCCAGGCCATGTAGTCAGTGCCGCCCCTTTCTCAGCACTCATATACCTACTTTAGACATATCTGCATTTTATAAAGAAAATGTACGAAAGTGATCTAGGAAGATTATTGTTATACGATGCGGTGCAGTGCGGCCCGCCATAAAGTGCGTTAGCCTTTAAAATATTTAGGTACTTTGAGTTATTTCTTGTTATCAGTGAATTTTTTGTCACGATTAGCCGCCCCTAAAATCTGGCCGCCCCAGGCCCGGGCGTAGGGTGGCCTTAGAGCAAATCCGCCACTGCGTACAAATATAATTATAACTGTTTTATTAAAAAATCCGACCTCAAAAGTTTGTGGAATTATATTCATTTGATAAATTTTATTGAAATCGGTTACCTAAGACAAAATGGGTGAAATCCAATAAACCGGACCATCCCCTGCTACAGACTACAGAGCCTTGAACACCGCCGTAAAGTCACTTGCCTATGAATATTCTACAGGATATCAAGGAGAGTTTTTGACGAAATTCAACACTAAAACAAAACATTATTGATAAGTGTTTTGTTTGGAACATGTAGTTGTTGTCTATAGATTGAAGTCGTTGCTTTTATCTTTGTACCCATGCTAAGTAAGTACGTACAGTCAAGAGCACATCAATCTTGATACTTTGGATTTTAGATAAGCTTCTGGAAAAATTCTTATCGGAAACCGCATAGAGGTCAATTCAAATCTTAGTGTCAACCTTGATGTGCTCTTATGTCTGTACCAATATTATTTCTTATTCCAGGTTATGTAGCGTCTGTAGTCTGTACCCGGAAGTTGGCAGACCTGCAGTTAGATACCATAGTGATCGAACGTACAGCGCATCTTCAAGATGCTCCCATGTACCAGCTCACGTGCGCTATGGAGGAGAACTGCCTTAGCAAATCTGCTTATGAGGTATCGTATTAACCAATAAATGGGTATACATTGGGTAATAGCATGGTTAAACTTAACGTCCCGCACCGTACCATTCGTCACAGTAACATCCTTTTTGGTCATCGTTTTCAAAATTACAGCTTATAGCGTGTCAACCACATCTAGTGCACCCGAAGCGTACTCATAAACGTCCGACCCAATATCGCGGCCACCACCCGTTCCCAAGTGACATCATCAATTAGTTTTTTAATGTAATAATAATAATAGCGCACCCACTCAACATAGCTCGCATTTCTCACAATTTTAAATGACCCAATATGGTAATAGCTAACGAGTTCCGGTAATTTCCGTCTGAATCATGATTTCCTCCTGAGGACCTTCACCCCCGCGCGCCCCAATGCGAATGCCGGTTCGATATATAAATAGTCTTATGTCCACTTGCACTAAACCTAGGTACGTCTTAAACCAATAATTGCAATGCAAAAGACACTCGTAATACATTGTGTTAAGAGTGTCTTATCAATTTAAGCATTGGTTTAAGACATACTTAAGTTTAGTGCAAGTGGACATTATAGTTCTTGTTTTAAGTATTTACTTACGTCGTAGTCTCTGTGAATATTTCTGTGCTCCGTTTTTTGCCAATAAATAACCATAGGGTATGTAACCAGTCTACCGACTGATTTATTTTATCTTGATCATAAGCTATTGATTATCACTACTTACATGTTATGATTACTATTGGCATGACTACTCGCTCCATGATAACGGGTTGACTGGCTAGCGGCAGATGAGAGTTTGAGAATAGACATGTCTGTCTACCCTCTTTCGCTGTCGACGAGTACCTTCATCTCGATTACTTATGACCAATTAATAGGTCCAGGCATTACTTCGCCGAAGTCCATGTTAATAAATTAATTTCCTAATCCGCGAACCCAGTGATGGTTAAATTGTGCAAACCCCTGAGCAATCAATAGACAACAAGTCAAGTTGAGCAATCAACAACCCCTGGTGATGCTCATGGAGATGCAAAACACGTGTCGGGTATATTTTTGGTGGTGGTTTGTGACTGTAGTTGTGCTTGTGTGTTATTTCTATAAATAACCCTATGGTTAGGGTTAGTTAGTTAGGGTGGTGGGAAAATTAACTGCATGAAAAAATATTCAACACAAGCACAGCTATTTTGCGCGATTTAACCTTCACTGGGTTCGCGGAGTAACAAATTAATTTGCTTCCATTTTTATTACTTGTGACCAGTCAAATCGTAACCATAGCTCTTGTAGCCGTCTCGAAATATTGGAAAAGTAAAGAAATATTCAGTGTTCTTCTTCTTTAGTCGTATTCTTAATTGGTAAAGTTCGTGTCCCCGAAATGTGTTCGAGACTTTATGGACGATTTCCTTCCATCTGGTTCTGTTTTCGGCTTCTCTCAGGGTAGTTGCTGTAGCGAGGTACAGTCAGGTCACTAGGTCACTCCATCTACTAGATAATCGACCGTGGAGTCTCTTTCCTTCCATCTTACCCACCCCAACCAGTTTGTCAAGGTTCTCTATTTGTCGACGAGCAATATGACAAAAATAGTGTTCAGAAACGTGCAATTAGTTATAACCATTTAGTGAAAAACCGCAGCCTTAAAATCTGTATTATAGCTCTTTTTTCATATTTGAGTGTACGTTTAAGAAAACCGAACAACGAATGAAAGCTGAGCCTAATTTTATAGCTATCCTCAACAGAGTGTATTAGGTGTTAATCCACCACTTTGAAGCTAATTCCTTTCGATTCTTCGAACAATCACCAACATGGCTACTGCGTGGGGTTCTGATTGAACCAGATTTGTTTACAATAGAATTAATCAATATCGTCCGACTAAAGGCGATTGATATGTCTCGGCAAGGACCGACATTGTGTAGACAGACTTTTGTCTGAATCTTTCCAGCATAACTCTACTACTTGCCATACTGCAGCGTTTTAAAACTATTTTGAATTGCGGGCCGCTAAATTAATCTTAAAAGCTTCCAATTCTTCCAATTCTTAAAAACCACTGACCTGGTGGTAAGTGACACGCCTGTCCATAACAGTTGCAGTATCACTCAGTGCTTTAAATCACAAAGATCTGAGGAGCATAGCCACTGCGCCCGTCACCCTGAGACATATCTATATACCACATCAACAAGTACTACTTATAATACGACTTATTAATCTAATCTCTACGTGTTAGCTTTCGCAGCCTTTTAACTATCGCGGAACATTTCGCTATTAAAAGTACAAAGAATGTGAATATAAATGCACAGATTATTAAGTGTGGATAGAATTTATGAATTCTTTCTTTTACCAGTTATTTAAATTTTAAACAACAAGGTATATAACTACTGGGTCGTACCAGACCCCCATTGGACTGTTGCCAATCAATCAATCAGTTGCTGCAGTGAGAAAATAAGGTTTACAATGTAAATCATCTTTGTTAGTTCTTGTCTTATTTTCTCATATTATTATCAAATAAAAATCTTAATCTTAATATCTAAATTGATGTATACTTTTAAGAGGTTGAAATAAAAAAAGAGTGTAATTTTAGTTTATTAATTGTCTCTATCTACCCCAAACCATCCTTCGTTTCCAGAGCGATATTGCTTTTTATTATATGTTATATATAACATAATTTGACAAGTCCTATGTGCCTGTAATTTCACCAGCACCCGTACCCTTCAAAACCTAAACGCAATAGTGCTCGCATCAAATACTGTAATAATAAATACGTAAGTCTCGTCTGCCTGTAATATCAACAGCACCCTTACCGTTCCTAACCGGAAGGCGGTAAAGTTCACATTACTGCTTGGCGACAGAAATAGTTAAGGTGGCAGTACTTCCCTGGACGAACTCTTTCACAAGGAGCGCTACTGCTACTAAATATGTTACTAATAGGCGAGCGAAGTGATCCTCGAATTTGTTTCACAGTTTTTAATAAATGCTCGCTTCTTATAGCGAATTTTTTCAATATAGAAGATGCCTAACAGCAAGCACAAAGGCTGTTTGATCATCAGTTATTTAAACGATTCCATCACTGAACTAACGCTCACCTGTACGAGTACTTACTCGTATCTTTGGAGCTAGAGATTTTTTAACATTATTTTCTGGGTCATAGCAGTTCTTGGTTAGGTTAGGTTACTAACACATGTTCCAGAGGAACACTCTTGCTTTCACAACATTAAAACCTTAAATAGTATTAAATCTTGAATAGGAAACTTTTTCACAAGGAGGTCTACTGTGATCTTTGCGATTTAAAGCTCTGAGTGGCATCACCAGCAAGCGCACGACTTGTTTGTCCCGTCACTTGATATCATAAAATCATATCTACAATACAAAACAAATACTCTGTATTGCACATAAAAACAAACGCAAAAAACAAAACAAAAGAGAAAAGAGAGGGTACGACGGGCCTTATTAAATACCAATTAGGTACCTGTCTATTATGCCCAGGACTGCGCTGTTTGCGATCACCATAGTCACGTGGGATGACGTGTGCTATATTACATCTCCCTTGTAGCGACATAATCTTTATTGAAAAATAACCAGTAATAAATCGATTTCATCGCGTTTATTGCCGTATGTTATAAAATGTGAGAAATATGATATTATCGATATAATGGTATTAAATGAAATAAACTTTCGATGTAATAAGTTCTTCTTATTGAAGTCTGGATTAAATAAGCGGTGGGAGAATTTATATGTAAATTAGATAAAAGGTGACATAAAAATTATTTCAATACTTACTAATAAGTCGGAAAATATTTTTTTAGACAAGCCCATGGAACCATGTTATTCAATACTTCGCCATTCATATTTTATCCGACTGTCTATAGATCCAAAAAACCAACCCAGGATGGCAGCACGAAACACGACGTCTCCTTCGGTTCACAGCGACGTCCCTCAATATTGGCAACGACGAGTTCCGGCCCTATTTGCCGAAGCACTTATGGCAGTGGCATTTATGTCATATGTAAGAAACTATATTCATATTCATTTATTTGCATTTCACATACCCATATATCAAATGACACAGATTAAACTTACAACTGCATTTGGTATAATATACATGTGATACCCTGTCAGAGTGTAGCAAAGTTAGACTTACAATTGACATACATTGCAAGCTTGAACGTAGTTAATAGCTTTTTTTAATCAATAAATCCTGCAACTGTTTTTAGAAGACCATTCTTTTTTCCGATTTTTTAATAGTATTAGGGTTATCATTATATATTTCCATTAACATAGGTATAAATTTAAATAAAAATATATGTTATAGTCCTAAAGTTAAGAGGAGGAACATCATCCTGAAACGTTTGACATTTATGTATATAGAACCTTATTTATTCTTCTATTTAAGAATATTGTCGATGCAGAGCCGTCCTTATTAATATATTTTTCTCTGCCTTATGCCGTCCCTAGGACTACCTTGCACACTCAACCGCAAATATAAATAGTACTACTTAAGTTTACAGTAAAATTTCATAGGTCTTTTTAACAAAGAATTTTAAGAAATTGCATTCCTACCTTTGATATTATAATAAAACCATAATGTGATCATATGTCAAAAGTGTTTTTATCACATGTAAGGCGTAAATAATACGCACTACACGAAACAAATTATGTGTGTGAAATTTTAGAAAATGTCTTTTAAAAAAAAGAAAAGTGCGCCAAGGTCAAATGACCTCCATCTCATCTGACGGAAAGTGACGATGGAGTACACCTAAATAATGCTTATCGACTAATTTAGTTCGTAAAATCTTTAAACGTCTCTCCCAACAAGTCGTCATTTATATGGCAAACGGCTATGGAGTGAAATTCCCTGCCTGCAGACTTGTTCCCTGAACGTTATAACTTGGACCATTTCAAGGCGAGAGTGAATAGACATTATTTAGGGTGCATGCTTCATCATCGACCTCGTCGTCACTTTTCATCAGGTGATATAGAGGTCAACACACACTTGCATTTGAATAAAAAAAAAATTGTAAATGCGGCCTTATTACAGCAAGGATGCGAATTGTCTCTAACTAAGGCCCACCAAGCGACCCCATGTTTACCTTCTCTTTTATTTGGTCTTTGTAACTACTTTCTCCTTTATCGTAAATATTCCCCAGGCTCGTTTATAATACATTGTGACCTACAATGTCAAAGGGCGCAATGCATTAATCAATCATCCATACTCGAACCTGTTATAATAAAACTTTTATTCTGGAGAGCTATTGGTGACGTAAAAGTTTTAGGCGATTATTTTAATGTTTTCAGAGCAGTCCTATATTTCAAAAATCGTTTTTATTGATGTTAAGAATGACACCCTAAAAACCTTGCAACAATTCCTATAATCCGTACAAAATTTACAACCATGTCACAGTTGATTCAGTGGAATTTATATGCAAACCGCGCAGTGCTGCCCGCGCTACGATTTTATTTTGAAAAACAAAAATTTTTTAACTAACTTCAGCTTATTAGTGTTTTCAAATATTTGTTTGTGTTCGTCAATCATCTCTTCACCGTTATTAACAGAAGCCGAATCTGCGATATTAATGAATACTCCACTGTCAAGGCGTCGTCATTCGACGGCTTCGCCGAATAAACGTGTTTTATCAACACTAACATTTCAGGAAAAATAAAAAGAGTAAAAACTTCAATAACCAGCTCTGTTGAATTTATTACGAAAAAAATATATGACGAAAACAATGGAAATAAAATAACCTGTGTTTTTACGCTGTAAATTAGAATTTAATTTTTTAAGAGGTGTTAATGGGAAATGTCAACTATACGCATGCGTAATGTATATTTATGTTTTCTAAACTGAAATAGATTATTTATCCTTTTTTTGCGTGAAAAAGTAGTAAGGTATCGCTTTATCTCTCCGTGCAAGTCTCCCGAGGCGTAGGACAGAGAGCTGTCGCATATTGACTTTGATGGGACTCTACACACACGCGTTTCAGTATACTGTGTTTGTGAAATAATAAACAATAAGTCATTTATTAAATTTTACGTTAAATCCAAACTGCATTTTTACTATACACGGAGGTTTATAACAGATAATAATAGAATATTATAACCCGATTATAAAAATGTGTAAAAACTTACGCATGGTATAATACATAGTGATCTTTTTCAGGCATTACCACAGCATGGAAGTATTCGCGACATTCAATGTACTTAATTCGACGGGTCACAGAATAGCTGAAGGACATAAAGCATCTTTTTGCTTGGAAGACAACACCTGTTTACCAGGAGTCGAGAAAAAGTTTAATTGCAAGAATTATGGAGACCAAGGTGGGATATTTTTTATTATTGTATTAATTTTTAGGCCTTATTACACCGCTGCTGAAAAATAGACGGACAATCTGAGAAGCGTTCTGCTCTGTGACGCGGGCGGCACTGCTATATATTATATATATATATATATATATATATGTGCCTCCCCGCATACCATTCCTTTACTGTAATGTCTGATGCAACAATCGGCAAGAAAAAAGATCAAATTTGTATTCAAAATCAAATAAACCATAAATATTTCATAGCTAAGCAAATCACCGTCATAGTGAATGTTCACCGATCCCACGAGAGGTAAACAGTTAATATTTTTCCTTACAAAATTGTATTGTTTCCATTAAATATACACAAGGAAGTGTGAGTATACACATTAAACATTGAGTGTTTTATACATTGGTCGCGATGACATAAAAATGCGACGTCACGGTGCTCGCCGTGTTGACTATTGTGATAAAATTTTAAAATGCCGGCTGATCACTTGAATTTGAGAGCTAAATGTGGATATAATAGCCTTATTGAGGCGGCATACTACGGGAACAGGGGCACGCCTATTTCGTCCCGTCACTGTAATAATAATATTGGACAATTCAACAAAACTTGTCTCGTAGCTCAATGGAAACTCAGAAACGTAAATAGAGTAGAATTGGCATTCATCAATCTCTTCGACAAGTGTATGTACATACAAATAATATTTTGATGGCAACTATCATTAATCTAGACTGATATAGCGTCAAACTCGCTATGATTCAGTGCCCCATTTGCTTCTATTAGTAGCCCGGACTCGATGGCGATTCGGTTACAAATTGCCTTCCATATACATAAGAGGGGTTAAGAAATCTAATAAATCATGAAATGTTTGGAACTCAAAATAGTCCCCTGTGGTACACTCAAATATATGCAACAATTAATATGTTCGGTAAGGTTAAGGATGTATATAATAAATTACGTCACATAGAGCACTCGGCTCAGTTCATCAATTGTTATTGCTTTTGTTCAATGGTCTATGTGCGCGAAAGGGTCACGTTTAAATAGAGGTAGAGGTACTTACAGTTTCAAAGAATGTCTGAGCGAATACAACAAGTACGATACCTACTGAATATACCAAATGTTATTTCTTTCATAGCTCTTTTCAAATTCTCAACGTGTCGTCTATACTTAACTCTTTTTATGATACATTGGTAACATTTTAATACTGAATTAGAATTCAGCAAATGTCTTTTAATCTATTTAATGTTTCACGTACACTCGAACGTGGGAGATGGGTTTTTGTGTACAATTTACTTTAATTTGTAATTGCGTGACATTTTACGGAAAAAACACATTCGAAAAGCTACAAAATAAGGTTATATTTACGCACGCGTAATTTCGTTTATGACAAATAGGTAACAACGCGGAAAGGCGCAACGCCCAGTACCTCTACTATGAGTCAAAATCGATTGTCGCTAGAGACTGTGCGCAAAATTGTTGTACAGAAAGTTTTAATTATTTTTATGAACTTTTTTTTTTCAACATCGTGCCGTTTTACTACCATGGCAGGTATTTGTTGGGAATTTCAAGAAGAGCTAAATAAAAAGAGTTTAGTAAAATAAAAATAAAATCTAAAAGTGCGTTATGATTCTTTGCTATTAAAGAAACGTCAGGCGCACAAACTATGATCTTCGTATCAACATGTTTGCACAATAATTCGTTTCACTATTTAAAAGCCATTAATTAAATTACTTTTCCAGTCTTGGCCACTTTTCGTCCTTTCGTACCTGAATGCCCTTGGTCTCAGAATATGCGCGATATGTTGTTCTTAATTCTCCACTAATTTCCACACACAAGAAAATTATTTCCGTGCTCTTCTTCTATCCGGCTTGAAGGACCATGTTGAGAATTTCAGGAAGTTCCAAATAAAAAGAGACTTATAAAATAAAAAAAGGAACAAAATGTAATGCCGAGTAACAAGCTAGTTTTTGACAAAAAATAATCTAAAGTTGCTTTATGTTTATTTGCTATTAAAAAAACGTAGGCGCACTAACTGTGGATCATCGCTCCAACAATATTTATCTAGTTTTTTAATACTCCTCTAGTTTGTTATTATTATTAATATAGTATTGAAGAAATACAAAGAAAAAATCCTTAGAACCGTGTTTGCTGAAAAGCCACGTTGAGGCAACAGATACTAGTTTGTTCAATCTTTGTATCAATAATATTATTTTTGTGACTGCTAAGGGTGCTACACAAATTGTTATACAAAACTGTGAAATATTCTAATTATTTAATATTACTGAAATATTTGCTCTTACATTAACTGCCATTAAGCATGTCAAGAGATCATTCACTCTTGTGCCACCACTGCTCATGCACTTCTAAAAATGGTAGTCTTTACAGTAACACGCGAAAGTAATATCGTCAACGTATTGTGGTACAAATCTTGACTTACAGATGGCTTCAGGATTGTCCTGTTAAATATTTTGAAAGTAAAAAGTAAAAAGAGAACCATATTAATTGTATTTTATTACACAACAAGTTGAAATCATCGACTATACAGATTGTAAATTTGAGACGGGGCAGCAAGGCCAGCTACCTTAATCGTTATAATTACAGGAAAACGGTTCTAGAAGACTATTCATGAATTTTGAAGATATTTTGATTGGCATTCACAGATTTTGAAAAAATGGTACGGTCAGCCAGATAAAAGGCAATTTTTACAAAACTTTTTTTTATGCCTTTCGATCCGGTCTCTGGTAAGGATCAATAGTCTCTATGGGACCAACTGAGATAAGAGTATTGCAAAAAACTTTTTACCACACATTTTGTAGGGACCTATAGAACCATTATCCTGTAACTACAACGATTAAAGTAGCTGGCCTTGCTGCCCCGTCTCAAATTTACACCCTGTATATTATTTGATTTTTAATTCGGGACTCAGAGTCGTATTCCAGAACTTTACTCAATGCTCAAGTCAGGACTTGAGTATAATTTAAAGCACTAAAAATCATACTCAAGTCCTTGCCATTAGGGTCATATTTCCAGTGCTTAAAATCATACTCAAGTCTGCTCAAATCCTGACTTCAGCATTGAGTACAGTTCTGGAATACAACCCTTAATCACGTATTAAACATATTTTAAGTAACTCAACGTTTCGCAAGAGGTCCCGGGTTCATTTACCGGGCCGGGAGAAATTTTGTATGGCCTACATTTATTTCTCTCGTGAGTTTGGGTGTAATTTGAGGTTGTCTCTGTGTGTGTCCATCACACCCGCGATACAGGATAATATAGTGCAGGGCTATGAGTGTGTGCACGTTATTATTTTCAGTAAATTACCAAGTTAAATTAAATTGTTACAAGGACATGCTTTTAAATTACAACAAACAATTAGACAAAATGGCTTTTGACACATTGCTTCTATAATAATAAAGAATACTTAGAATTTATTTTGTAGGGTCGGTGCCCTCACTTAAGTAAGTATCCGCTTTTTGTACTACGTGCTATACAAATAGTAAATACCCAAGTGAGGGCACCGACTGTACATTAATTTAAAACTATAAAGACGAAAGATAAAAAATCCATTAATATTTGCGCATCTGCCTGCAGGTTGAATACAATATAACTAATTTTACTTAAGATCTGTATAATTACTGTATTCTGGCAAATAAACGCATTCTATTATATTAGTAATAATAGCAAAGTTCGAGGTGATTTTGATTTATACCATATTTTCAGGTGTTTCCGTCAACTGTTCTGATGTGTACCAGTATAACCTGGATTGCCAGTGGGTGGATGTTACTGATGTTTTACCTGGAGACTACACTTTAAAGGTATACTAACAGGTTGTGAATCCGCATGAAAACAGCTTTTAATTAAGGATTTGTATTTACAAATAATCTCTGCTGACAAAGGTGTGAACAGCAGATCTGCATTTCAACAGTAAAACGGAAGTTTCTTTAGAGTAAGTACAATTTGGTACAACATAATACGCCAGACAAACACGCACCAGCTTCGCATAATAAGCAGACAACTTCTTAAACTTCCTTGTACCATGAGTACTAGAGGAACGGAATTCACTCCAGGGCACTACCCCGAACATCCAGACCAGAAACAATTTAGAAACGTTCATTTCCCAAATTGGTCATCAACAGGAATCGAACCCTCTTCGTCCAATGCCCACAGCGCAAACCGTTGGCAATTGAGGTCATGAAAATATAATATTACAATGTGCATATATCATTAACGCATGCATTAACGACTGTGAATGCAGCCGGAAGAAAACTTTGACAACTGCACACAATTGCATACGTACCAACTGTTAGCGAACTATCCTTACCGATAAATACAGTGGAGCTGCCACTGTATTTATCGGCCATTCTCGGATTAGTGTTCACTAAGTAACTAATTTCCATAGCAATTGTATTATTTAAGTATTCTATTGTCTTATAGTGCAATATTATTTAATATTCTAGTATTGTATCGTGAAATATAATTTAATTATTACACGATAATATACTTGAATATTTAAATAATAAAAGTTGCCACGGAAATTAGGTAATGAACACTAGTCCGAGAATGACGGAAAAATGCAGTATCTGAGCCTAGTACTAATCCGAGAATGACCGTTTTATAACAATTTATGTGCATTTAGAACACCTACTTGTTATTTAGCTACTGATTTTTTATTCATGTTAAAATTTCAGGTTTCGGTCAACCCACACGCCAGAATTGCAGAGCAGAACTTTCACAACAACGCAGCTAGATGTAACCTTCGACTATCTGACTCTTATGCCTCTGTCTTTGGGTGTGTATTGGAACGACCATAAAACCTTTAAGTCTTGACGAGTTGAGTGCGCATTCTACGCTTTTTGATCAGTTCAGAGGGTTGTCGCACCTTTTAAAATTATTTTAATATATTTTTTAAATGAAAAACTATTTTTTTTGTCTATATTGTTTTTAATTTCATTAAACTTATACATACTATCACAATATTTCATAACTGTATTGAGCAAAACCTCTAAAACTATAATGTACCATAAAACTAAAGGACATCAAAATATACAAGATTGAAGATAAGAAGATAAAATTGCATTGTTATTTTGTACCTTGACAGAAAAACGCCTTAAGGTTCAAATTACATTGCTGCATAACAGAATGGAAGCGTTTTCTTTTTATCCATATCACAATGAACTTATGTCAAATATATAACGCACCAAATAGATCTCCATGCGAGAATAAAGTATCTCGCGCTTTATGCTAGCCCTCATGAGATTATGCGAGTTCTCTGGAAGACGTGGCGCGTTAAGTTTTTGGCTCGTATCTAATATACTGTTTTTCTTGCATAATCGTGCTAGCCCTATTGGAATTCCCGCAACTTCCGTATTGTATCTATAGTAAAATGACGGTTCATTGTGCAAAAGTGTTCCCCTCTTGAGAGCAGCTAGTGATTGCAGTCGATAAAATTATTCTATCGACTATCATATTGGTCACACTTATGAAATAAATATCCGAAATCGAGGTTTGACGCATTATTCATTCAATTACTGAGCTCCAGTTCATTTGAATTGTAATTTTTTGTAAGTTCATACATACATACATTGTATTTAGAACTATGTTTATGAAAAATACCGGGAGGAGACATATTTTAAAGTTTTTCAATTTAATTCAATATAAATAATCAAATCCGGCTATTCTTGTTAAAATGTATTTATATAAATAAAAATTGATCTCTATAGTAGGTCAACTGTCAAAATAAGAATAAAGAAAGAAGGCAAAAACGAAATTAGTAATCATTAGAACATCGTAACATTCCCAATTCAGTCATTTTTGGCAAAATTTTATCTTCTTTTACAATATATCTATAAAACTATCGACAACAACTACAAAACTATTTAAAATTTTATGAAAACTGGCAACCCTACAAATGTCATTTTAGTCCCTCTTCAAAAAAGACAGATTATAGTTTGTACGTTACACAACTGATATAAAATTCATAATACTATGTACAATTTCGTTACAAAAATTCGCTTCTATTTCGTTCCGCGGCAATGTAAATTGAGCCTGACTTTCATACCAAAAATTTCAGCACCTCGCTGTTTGTGTAATTCTTTCAAGTTTTGAAGCACCCAGTATCTTTATAAAAGCCAAAAAACGAATAACTAAGGTAGTTAACTCGAAATGTTACGAATGCCTAAGGGCGCGTTCCCGTTATGTCGTAACGTTTTATTTATCGTTGGACGACTGTCGCGCCTAGCCTGTTCCCATATCACGACTATCTGTCGTGACTGTGTCTTGGACGTTACTTTATCGTTGAACGACTGTCGTGTCTAACTGTTCCCACTAGATCGTGATGACAATTTATCGATTCAAGGCAGCCACCTTGTCGTTTGCACGACATAATAATTTGAAACTACGATTATCTGTCGTCACATTTTTATTGCGACTTTGTATTTATCGTCGGAAGACTGTTGTTCTCTTCTCATTGTCACGACAGTCTATCGACATGACGTTAAGAGCTCTCATGCCAAAAAAGTTTTGACGTTGGCTCCGTCCAAATTTGTGAAACAAATATATGCCTGAAGTTCACGTGACATGCGACAAGAGATGTTGAATTTTGCGCATTAAAAGTACCAAATCCGTTTTAGCGAAATAACTCTGAAATTAAAGGGATTAAAAAAATCCGTAGTGACACTTATCGATCATGCACAAATATAATTAATTATCTAATTTTTGTCGTAATAACTTGTAGCATTTCGAGGATAAATCGAAAAAATGTGAAAATTAGAGGTCATTTCGTGATTTTTATCTATCGAGGAAACTTTAAAGTTTTATGTTTCTGATTAATGTCTAAGCTTGAATATACCGTGTAGTTACTCATACAATACTTTATTTTTAACTTTAAAGTGGATATACCCCTCTAAAATCAAATCGAAGATTAGGAATTTTTCCTCTGCTCCCTCTTAAAAAGCCGGGAACGACAGTTAATCGTGTTGTACTATATGCGAACAACTTCATTAAAATATAATATACCTCCAAGCCACAACACTTTAAACTGCACGAGTAACTGTCATCACGACATAATGGGAACGCGTCCTCACAATCCAATTTTTGAGATGGTGTAAAATCTCGTTAACTAACTACAATAACAATAATTCCAGAACATAATATGCATTATTAAAGACAATGTGACAAAAAAATATTATGTATAAAACGTACCAAATTTTAATAAAAATTTGAACTACGATTCATTCTAATCCAAAAATAGTACGCATAAAAGTTAACTTAGACTTCTCAATCGTTATTTTCTCTGCGTCAGTTGCCAATGGTAAAAAAAATTCGAGTCCCTTTTTTTTTCACGTCGGTCTCTTATTATATTTTACACAATATTTATTCAAGTTTATTAAATAACATACCACTCTACGTAATACAAAAAATACAAATATAATAATTCGAATATGTACGTAACATATAAAATCGCGTACAAAAAAATACATCTTGCTCATTTAAACTACGCTAAGGCGAAAAACACGCTGACAATCGCGGCAATTTGCTTTAAAAGGCGGTAGAATTAAACCAGATTACAGAGAAAAAGCTTTTCTAAGTCAGCTATAACATTTACTCAAATACACCTACCATTATTATTATTTTCTTAACGTTTCTTTTATTCATTGACACTTAAGTTGGCAAGACAAACATTTCCACATCTCAATAAGTAATTAAATTAATATTACTAATTAATCAAATGAAAAATGACAACAAAAGACAGACAATGACAAGATAAGACTACCATGCTACCATCAGGAACATACAATAAAACCAAAGTTGACAAATTTCCATAAACCAGTTTTGCTAAAATAACAAATACCCAAAACATTATAAAAGACACAATCAGAAGTGGGATGCGTAACACTACGTTATTATATTGGCGAGCATAAATACAGGAATATTTAATTGTGGTGATTTTAAACGTTGTGTTTAAAATCACCCTTTCTTAAACTTAATTAGCAATATACTGGTTGTTAAATATATGGCTATCCACAGTCCCGTTGAGATGAAGCCGGAATAAACAGTTGGTACATGTATGGACCAACCTCGCTGAAGCATAGATCGCATAGACTCAGTCGACTTTGTGAGTGGAAGAACGTATGATACCCATTGCAGAATAAGGTGCATTCCTGTAAAAAAAAAATATTGTGTACCTGTATTGTCTCCTTTGTATGGTTATATCTACGAACTTTATTTACATACAAAGTGATCAAAATAGAGAATAAGATTGAATTGCAGACACTTGGCTTTGGCAGAGGTTCGAATACGAATCCGATTTCTAACTTACGTACAGGATCAGGTCAAGCTTGACACTTAAGACTTAAATTCAACTCTATGCCGCTTACGATAAGAACGGTCAGAAGTAACAAGTGTCAGGCTTGACGTGAGTGCATATTAAGTAGCAAAATATTTCGTTTGCAGTGAAGGAAAACATAATAATGAAACCTATATTTCGAAAAAGGTTCACAAAAAAACTTGGAAATATATGTCTTGGGCCACAATGGCAGGCTAGGGTAAAAACGGGTGTGTATTGTAGTATATAAATATTTTTAACCTAACGCCCATTTAATATATCTAATTTGATTTAATATAAACTTTTTTATATAACAATTCACTAAATACTTAATATAAACTTCATTCCCTAATTTTAAAAAGCAGCTATAAGTTATAAACCTCAGTTTACATAACTAAATATATAATAAACTGACAAAATTGACTTAAAACTGTTTGGAAATGCAAACAAATTCGGTTAACCTAACCTAACCTACTAAAGATGGGGCGCATATTATAGATACAAGGTAAATACCCCGTAAGAATTATCTGAATTGACAGCATAAACAATGATTGTTATATAAAAAGTGTTTTATATAAAATGTTCTTATAAAATGGGAACATTATTAAAAACAAGAATTATTTGAAATAAAGTGATAGGAAATGTATTTAGTCAAAGAGCAAATTGTATGAAATGAGCGTTATACAATTTAAAATTATTTTATTTGATTTTCACAAAAGTGAGGAGGAGCCGTTTAAACCTTTAGGAAGAACCCCAAAAACATAAAAAACATTGTTATAAGCAAATTAGTGAACAACAATTAATGCAAAGATTATATGCATTGTTTATTATATAATCATATTAAGTATGTTTATGCTGTATTATGTTTATTTTACACTGTATAAATTAACCATAAAATTTTGGCTTATGATATTTCTTTTTCTGTTTTAAATGTAGCACCAACCTCTTATTTTCTTTTCTGTTTAGCCCAACGGTTGACTGGTAGAGAATGCCTTATGGCATTAAGTCTGCCATTTGTACATTAATGTATTGTGCAAAAAGATTTAAAAAATAAATAAAGACTTTAGACTAAGCGAATTATCTTATTCTCCAAGTTGTCCTGAAAAGGGTAACTTGGAGAATTAGTCATTGGATGACATGAAAAAATGGACAATGAGAATAAAATACGTCCAGACTTTCATAAATTTTTATAAGTTGTAAATACAAACCTTCAATTGGCCAAATAATTCCGCACAACATGATCATAGGCAAAAACGATCCCAAAGCTAAATACGTTGCTGTTCTTTCCGTGTCGCAAATGCAGGATACCACGAAACCTGCAAAAAAAAAGTTATTGATTTGTGGAAACACATGTCGCTTGCAAGACAGCACTAACAAAATAAGTATAACTGTAATAAATAGTACTGTGCCCTACGCAATACCTCCGTAGTCGAGTGACTAGCACACCGGATTCCAAGATCATCTCTGAAGTCCCGAGTTCGATTCCCGGCCGGGTCAATTTAGAAAAAGTTTTCTATATTGCCTCGGCTCTGGGTGTTTGTGGTAACGCAGTTGTTTCCGATTGCCATGACACAAGTGCTCTAGTTACTTACTTTGGGATCAAAGCAACTTATGTGATGTTGTCTATAATAATATTGTCAGACCACAAACTAGAAAATTTTCCATATTATAAGTACCATAGCAACTCAGATCTTTGTGATTTAAAGCTCAGAGCTTACCATTAGGTGCAGGATTTATTAATTCCGTCATTTGATATTATAAAAAAAATATTACTCGTATTTCTAAGATATCAAGTTTCACTATATGAAAGTTACCTAAGTTTAGTTTAACAAAAAATACAGGTGCGCCTCATAAATGTAGAGCGGTGCTAGGGTTAAGATCTTTAGTTCCCTTTAGGGAATTGCGAACCTTACTTTAGTAAGGTACATACGCAACCTCTCTCCCTAATTCACCCAAATATAGTCCTGACACACTTCTATCGAGTTCTAAATAGAGGTACAAAATATATTGCAGCACCGTTGTACTATAAATATATTTATAATATTATTAAATGTTAACAAATGTAAAAATGTGCCAGACAAACACACCAATTGCCTGATCTCAAAACTAGGTAATTCCCTCTATCACAGAACACACAGATCAGGGTCAATTGAGCCCGGCACGTCCTCGTCCAGCGTCCACAGTGCAACCCTTGAGACTTGCCAACTTATGTCTCAAAGCGACGGGCGCAGTGGCAGTGCCCCTCTGTGCTATTAAAGTTATAGTGCAACTGTTATGAAAAGGCGTATCGATTATCACCAGGGTCACAACTCGCTCGTCCTTTCAATGGATAGCATAAACAAAACATAGGCCAACGTGTTCTCAGCTGATTCAGGGACTTCGATGTGTATTTATCCTAAACTTTTTCATTGATATTTTATTTACAATCGATTTGTTTTTGCAATGTAATTATTACGATATTTTAAATAAAGAAAGACTTCTCAAAGCTTTGGAATAATTAATACGGAGAGAATAGACGGTGGGACAAAAAACCCGCGTGTCGCAGTAACCTCACAATACACAAACACAATTATTTTATAGACTCTACATTCGTCAGATGAGAATATCGAAGAACTTAATGGCCTATTTACATTAAGTCCACAGGTAGCTTTCGCTTGCCTGCCGAAAGCGGCAACCCCAATGTCGTTTCTGAATTGTTTGACCAAGTCGATCGAGTCCACTAGCTGTAATAATCAATGTCAGGCAACTCGGTCATCTTTGGCAAGCGTACCGGAGCGGCCGCGTTCTAAAACGTGATGCGTCGTCGTTACGACGCCTGTGCAGTGACGCTGCGTTGTACTGCATATAAATTAGAACTACGTGCCACAAGATGCGTTGAATCGGTGCGCGGCGACGGAACGTGTGCGCTCAGACAAGGGGCCAGGAGATGAAGCGGGGAGAGGTAATGCTTGTGGCACTCGGTGCGTTGAAATCATAGCGTTGCGACGACGCAACGTAACGGCTTTGCTTATACGCGTGCTGGGGACTGGAGAATACGTAAGTACTCTAAGAACTCAATCAATTTGATGAACGTTTGGGACGATTTGTTGCGTCTCTGTGCGTAAACTAATAATGACGCGATTTCAACTTGGTGATTTCGGCGAAGGCGGCAGTCTATTCTGTATGTGTACTGTCGATGTAAACAGCGCATGCCGAAGAGGCTGCAGTTGACTCGGTGTAAACAACGAATTGACAGCTTCTCCTTTAGCAAAGCGAAGTAATCTGTGTTGTATTAAATCTAGAAATAATCGCCAATGTTTAATGGTGTTTGAATGAAATATGACTTCTAAATGACCGGTATGTTTTAGGGCTTGATAACTTTAGGCATTAAGCCTGCTAATTGGCTGTTAGGAAAGAGATTGAGTAGGTAGCCACTGTTAAGAATGAATACCTACTGTAGACTGAACTATGTAAGGACATCAAATAGATCAGGACAAAAAATATCACAAGAAAACCTGCTCGACAGAGATGATTAATGTCTAGGAAGACATGAAAAATCTTCAACTCGCATTGACTACGATAGCGTTATGGATAATAGAATAAAATTCTGTCTCTTGAGAAAAACAATAGTTTCATGTTGTTGGAAAAAGTGGGAACAAAATCCCTCTAGGCCTAATAGTGGTACTAGTGGAAACGAAGGAATAACGCAAATTAATATAGGCAAGAATTTTAAATATTAATAATTATCGTTTGGCCACAAAGCGCATCAAATTTAACACTTTGGACTTCTTATTGTTCTTATTGTAAGGGGCATAGAGTTTAACGTGCTCTTGCTTATGTACTACATGTACATAATGACGAGTTCGGTGAGTCACGCGGTCAGCAATATGGACGCTAGATCCTCCTCATCTAGCATTCCGGGTTCGATTCCCGGTGGGAACAGCTTGGGTAAGTGTATTTTCTAAAATAGCTCCAGTCTGGTACTCGTAGAGAACTCCCATTTACCTGTATGATAACTTTTTAGGCTCTTTTACTTCCATTTGTGTGTTTGATAATATTAGGGTTGATTGTGTATCTTAATAAGTTCGTAATTAATTAATTGTTTGTTTCTTTTTTTCGAATCTAAATCACGTGTGTTTACTTTTTCAAACTAACCAACGGTTTGAGCTCTTTACATGGTCACGGCTCACTGATATACACACATCAAAAGTGTCTAGGGATCAAGTACGTTTAAGAGTATTGCTGCAATTAGGGTTAATTATATTAACTTTTTTGTATCGCTATTGATACTTTTTAGTGAGTTTTAACATTTAAATAAGGAATATTGTTTAAAATTCGATAATAAGAAGAAAATCGATTGTCAATGTGGTTTTGTATAAAAATGAGTTATAGCGTTTTGACAAAATCATTACAATATCTGCATCGGAACCGAAACAATTTACATTATTATGGAGAGACGACATCATTTAACCCGAGAAGTGATGATGCGAGCCGTCGGAATGTTGGAAGCTGGTTCCAGGCAACGTGCTGTGGCTTTCACTCTTAACACTACACAGAGCGTCATAAGTCGCCTCTGGACGCGCTATCGCATGACGGGCAGCGTGGCCGAGCGACATGGAGGACGATCTCGCATCACGACTCGCAGACAGGACCGGTATATCCAAAATACTGCTCGACGGAATCGTACCATGACCGCCATGATGTTGGTTACGAAGCTCCACAGCTCCTCAGGCTTGCTAATAAGCGATCAAACAATCCGAAATCGTTTACGTGAAGTGGGTCTGCGATCCCGAAGGCCGCTCAGAGTTCCACCTATTGCACCCTGCAATCGCAGGACCCGTTTACGATGGACTCGCGAACACAGAAACTGGGAGGAAGAAGACTGGCGCTATGTGTGCTTTTCGGATGAATCCCGCTTTGGTATGAGACCGGATACAAGACGTACTCGAGTTTGGAGAACATCTGGACGTCATGAACGTTTGAGATATTGTCAGGAAGTTCATCCATATGGTCGGGGAACAATAATGATATGGGCCGGTATTTGGATCGGCGGAAGAACCGATCTCATTTGGATCAGGGGTAACCTCAATGCTCAAGTTTACGCAGAGAGGATTGTTTCAGATGTTATCATCCCTTTGCGAGGCCAGTTGGGTGATTCATTTCAACTAATGCATGACAACGCACGTCCACACACGGCTAGAGTCGTAACACGCATTCTTGCCGAAGCTCGTATCAACGTTCTGCCGTGGCCTGCTCAATCGCCAGACCTCAATCCAATTGAGCACGCATGAGATAAGCTTCAAAGAAGAGCTGTGCCGAGTATGCATACCGTACATACTCTACAACAATATTTTGACTTGTTACAAAACACATGGGCGGCCATTCCTCAAAGTGATTTTGATGAACTCATCTTAAGCATGCCAAATCGCTGTAATTGTGTGATTCGTGTTAATGGTGGAAATACAGATTATTAATTTTCTTATCTTTACAATAAAAATGAGCAAAATCATCATTTTCGCCATTTTTTTGTCATTTAATTGACGCCGTTAATTTGAGTTTTTTCCCACAGTTTGCAAGAACATCAATTTTAGTTTATTTTAATTAAATATAGGGGTAAGCGATTAAATAAAACATAAGCATTAAAGTAAGAAGTCGTCCTGGAAGACTGGATTTGGTAAATATTGCTTAAATAATTTTTATTTCAAAAATATTCACTTGATCCCTAGACACTTTTGATGTGTGTAGTAAAAGTTATCAACCAGATTTTTAATATTTTTAAATTTATTAGGTTATTTCTAATATTGATGTAAACTACCCTATTCTGAACTATAGTTACATTAGTTATTAATTTAAATATCTTATTTAAATTTTGCTAAAGGACTAGAAATAAATTAAGAATTAAATATAAAATGAAACATAGTAATGAGTAATATTTAGTTCATTGAATATCACTATGTTTTACTAACATGATAACCAATTATTTTTTGTGAAATCACTCTACTAGTTTGTTATAATTTTATTGATAAAGTCGATCGCACACTAAGAAAAATTTATTCGATTTGGCTGGACCAGCGCTTTCCGCATAACGTGGCTGACGCTCTTTCATCTAATCTACGGAACGAACCAATAGACCTTATGAATTTTATGAGTTAGTCTTTGTTTCTTATTTTTAACGACTTTTTTCCCGTAGCGCCATCTGCGAAGAATCTATGAAAGTTTTTCTACAATCATCCAGGTTCATATTAATGAAGTAGTTCATTGCACTCGTAATTATGTCTCATCACAACACAATAAACGACATGTCAGTTTAGGTAGAATTATGGAATGATAATTAAACTAGGAAATACTACGTACTTATTTACAAATATCGAATTTCAACGTGTCGGTCCATTAACAGTGTACTAGGAAAACCAAAATACCGCGCCCATGCAAAATAAGCCAATAAGCTAATGTAGTAGGTAGTAGGGTTTTGAATTACACTATTGGAACACGGTCGTAATTAAAAAGTTGCCACGCACTCATTAGCAAGAATTTATCCCCTTCAAACTCCTGCCATATGGTACATTTGCTTGTGGATCGTTGCAATATTTTAATAATACACTGTAGAATAACATTCGTCTGTGCTTGCTAATTGAACTTGTCTCATGCGAAACACGCCTTGCACGTGAATCGATGCTACGTGGCCTATTACATAGGGCTTTAGTAATTTGAAATAAGAACCCAATGCATGTGATCGGGTATAGACTTGTTCCACCCGTATCCCGTATTAAGGCGGTTCCCCACGGTCTGTGATTTCGCGGATTTGTATGAGCAGGTGTGTGTCGCTAGTTTTAACATAGCATAATAAGACAAGTACTACAACTCCCACCTATTCGACGTGCCAATGCCTACATATCCCTTGGAGCGTAGGATTGTCACATAATTATTTTAGTCGTACCAACTGTATATCGCATGCGACTCGTGATAAACCTCCCCTTGACTTATTTATTTCGGGCAATAAAACTATGTTGCCATTATTAAAATTATTTTATTTCATTGCGTATACTAAATCGGTAAAGTACCATACTATTGTCATTCTTTTGTTCATTTAAGAATGAACTATTGTTATACATCTTGAAGAGCAAAGATAACGATATGAAATTGCTTATATAGCTAGCTATCTTTGTCGTTTATCATCGCCGCGAAAATTGTGATACTTTTAATTGTATCTTTGTAAAACGAAAGAAATAAAAATGGCGGATTTCTGTAGTTACAGTTTGTACATAAATTGAATATTTTTTTAGTACAACTATTTAGTTTTATTAATAATAAAAAATGACGGAAACTTTTTGTAAAAAATGTCGGAAAAAATCCATATCGGGTTATTTTATAAGTCTTATAGCATTTGGTACTCACCAAAGGTCATTCCACATAGTCCAGTGATAAGCGTCAGGATGATGACCCAACCAACAGGTCCTCGGATTGTCAACCCGAAGCCAACAAATCCGATGAGCAAGACCGCTCCGGATTGCACCAACATAATCAACATTTGCACTGTCACATGGGAGAACAGGATTTCTATACCTGGGAACAAGAACATTAAACATAAGAAAAATGCATGCGGTGTCTGATTTGGAGTAAAAATAGTTTTCGTTTTTTTTCCGCAACTATATAAGTATTACGCCGTATAGAGATTAGTTACATATGTACATACATGTAAAAGCCGTGGTAGCTTAATGGTTTAACCTACTGTCTCTCAAGCAGAGGCCGTGGGTTCGAATCCGGGCTTGCACCTCTGAATTTCTCGGAACTGATGTGCGAAATTAAAATTGAAATTTACCATGAGCTTTTCGGTGAAGAAAAATCGTGATAAAATCTGCACGTCGAAGAGGTTTACAAACCCTTGGGAAACGTATGAAGTCCCCAACCCCAATGGCCAGTGTGGCGGACTATGGGCTAGTGGGCCGTGTAAATGGGTTGATGATGACCCTATTTCCCACCGGGGTAGGCAGAGACTACGGAACTCCACTTCTTGACAAACCTCTTTCGCCTCCTCCACTCTCACCTGTCTCTTCCTCATTTATTCTAGGTACTTTTAACCCGAACTTTTTTTAAGGACTTTCATGTAAAAATGGAGGCAAACGAGTAGACGAGCCACTTGATGGGAGGTGGTCATCGTCGACCATGGACATTTGCAACATCAAATGAGCTGCTTATGCGTTGCCGGCCTTTGCGAGCCCTGTAAACACGCTTTTTGAACAACCCTATCTCATAGTGCAAAGGAAATACTTCAACAGGAAGATCATTCCACATCTTGCAGGTTCGAGGCAGCAACGAACGAGATCGCGTGGTCTTACAATGCCAGGCATCTAAGATGCGGGGATGGACTCTACTCAGGAGATGCGATGGTAGAAACCAGACGATGGCACCAGTTTGAAAAGTTCCTCAGAGCATTCCCCATTATAAAGACGGTAGAACACACAGAGAGCCAACGTTTCTCTGTATGCTAAGGGGTTTCATAGGGGGCTAAGGACTTTCCCAATCTGATGGAGATATGTACGCCAAGGTACATCTACCTCTCTCCACGCCTCCAACCCCATTCGCATTATAAATTTGTATAGTAGTTAATTGTACATAAAAATACATTATTCTAATTTAACTATCATATTGGACAAACGGTAATGTGTAGTTTATAATTGTAAAAAAGAAGCTCTCCTCTAAATGGAGAGAAAAGTTTTAAAAAAATTGAAATTATGTGCCTAAAGAAATCTTTCTTCAAACCTTTCCCACAGTTTCAAAGCCTTACCAAATAAACTTTACATTGAATAATAAAACTCAAAAGCTTTATTCGAAGTTCGAAAGCTGCAATGAAGGGTCCGGAACAGCTTTTATAAGTTTTGCTGGAGCAGGAAAAGGGGTTACGTTCAATATCACATTTTCTTCGGCTGAAATGCCGAGTAAACGACATTGGAAATCGTCAAGTTGACGTACTTTAAATGACTTTCTAACGAGTAACCATATGCCCGTCAGTAGACTACCAATGGCCTGTAAAACACATAACTTTGCACATAATGCTTTTTACGTGTGCATATACGACCCTATATATTGTAACTTTGGAAAGATTTAGCCGATGTTGCTAGAATTTTTAGAGAACATTTTTTTAAATGTAGTTCTAGGTCAAAAATATTGTCAGTTATGTAAACAATTGAGTGTGTGTGCGTGCTTCCGTGTGCGTGCGCTAGCGTGAATGTGTGGGCGGGCGCGCTTTTGTTTTGGGCGAGTGGATAGACGGGCAGGCGTCCTTCGGGCGCGCGAGCTTGCGTGCGTGTGTGCCTGTGTGTTCAATTCTATAGTCACCTTACTGTTGTGCACTCCTTGTTATGGCAAGCCTTAGTTTTTGTATATTTTATTTTTAACGCACACACTCATAGCCCCGTACTAGGGAAACCCTGTATCGCAGGTTCCATGGACACACACGTAGGTAGACAGCCACAAATTACACACAAACTTACGGAGAAATAAATGTAGGCAATATAAATTTTTCTCCCGACCCGGGAATCGAACCCGGGACCTCTACGTGGCAGTCCAGTACGGTAACCCTTCGGCTACGGAAGCAGTTAATTATTAATTATAATAATTAGTTATGACTAACGTATTTATTTGCATTTCAGTAACTTTTTTTGCTAGTTAAACGAGAAAAAACGTCAATTACGCTGAATTCGCATCATAATAAAAGTGAAACTAAATACGACGTAAAAACCCCGCTTATAGGGGGTTGTAGATCTCGTTTGACTGATTCCAGATAATGATAAAAACTTAATTTCGCTAAAACTGTTGATTACATTAGTTATGATAAGAAGGGCAGTGTTGAGATCATGATATCACAGTATTTATGTTGACTTGACTATGAGATAGAAAATGTAACAATTTTTTTAGATCCAAATCGCGTTCATTTGTTTTTTAACACCAAAAGTGTCGGGCTCTTTATAGGTTCAGACATGGCTTTTTCATTTATTTACATTATGAATAAAAGAGCCCTATCTAAAAACTCGTAACATCATAAATATGCCTAATGTATGTGTGTCACATTATGCCTATATTTTTTCGTTTATACAAGCAGGACGGAGACGTAAAAAGTTTTGGGTTAGGAATGATTATAGTATATATTTATGAGAAATAAAGGAACAAGCAAGTTTAAAAAAAAATGGCTTTCGATGGATATTATCAAAGTTGCGAAGGCGATTGAAATATTGGAGAACGATTTCAAAAAACATAGCCTGCAAGTGACTGTAAAGTTTATGACACAATTGTCAGAGAAAATATACGTAAGAGAGAATACACTATGTTTTTGCACGTCTATCGACTGCAAAATTGTTTTTAAAGTATTCTTTCTAATTACAACGTACATATCCAGTTACAGTAATTAGCAAGAACAATAACTGTAATAATAAAACAAACAAAAAAACATGATATAGAAGCATTGACCGACCAATACAGAAGACAATAATTATGAAGAGGTGGACTCGCATTATACAATTATTACATTTTTATTGAATGTCAGAATGTTTCATCACCATGATGGTCTATTATTTTTTGTGAAATTACTCCACTATATAACTAACAAATTGTTATATTTATTAATACAAAGATAAAGAACACTAAGAAAAAATCTTTGATCCGGCCGTATTCGAACCGACGTCTCCTAGCAAACCGTGCCAGACGCTATACCAACTAAGCCACGGACCGAACCAACGGACCTCACGAATTTTTCTATGTGCATGTTGTCGGATCTTTGAGCTTTCAACGGTTTTTTTAGCCGTTTGTGTTCTTCCATCCATCCCCATACTTTTTACATGGGACGAATTGTATTTTTTCAACTCGAGTTAATCTAGTTGACGTGACTGCTAACTCGGGTTGCAACTCGAGTTAACTCGACTCGGTATATGACAGAGCAACCGCAAGTCGCGAGTGCAACTCCAACCGACTATTCACCGAGTTGGACACGACCGGCGTGCCTTTTTTTTTTGCGTGGGGAAATTCTCCTAGGATACCTCTCAGCCGCGGGGGCACGGTGGCCTTCTCGGGTGCTGTAGTGGGAAGGATCCGGGATCGACTTTGTGCACCGGAACCCCCCCAGCACCTAGGAGGAGCTATGTCCTCCCCCTCCTCTCCTCACGACGAAGCGGGCCACACCGCCACGTCGTCCTCCTCGCGGCTGCCTAACTTACGACCGGCGCGCCTACCGCGACTCGAGCTCTGCTCCGAAGGTCGCCGAACCGACCGAGTGAGAACGAATGTCCGACGCGCTGTATGAATGAACTACTCGACTCGGCGGGAACCGAGCTGTGCTAGCTAGCGAGCGAGTTCACAAAGTGTAGCTCGAGTTGACTCGTTGTGAGAGTAACTCGAGTTAAATAACTCGACTCGCCCAACAACGCTCGCGATTCGAGCGTGCTCCGAAGGACGCCGAATCGACCGAGTCGGCCTGGCACCGAACCGAACTCTTACTTCTTAAAAAAGTAACTCGAGTTGACTCGTTGTGGGAGTAACTCAAGTTAATCGAGTTAAATAACTCGACATACTCATCGCAGTCCGTTGATTTGAGCCAGTATTCGACAGACAGGGGACTGTTTACGCCTCGCGGTAGTGCGAGGCAAACAAGCGGCCTCCGCACGTTCCAGGAAGTACAGGAGGCTCCGTTGGTTGTGGAATTCAGGAACATCAGTATAACCGCGAAGAATTTTCATTCTTCAAAGTAGGTTTATGTGCAGTTTGTTTGCATGTTTAGTAGCAGTAGAACTCCTTGAGAAAGAGTTCGTCCAGGGTGGTACTGCCACCTTACCTGTTTCTGCTGCCAAACAGTAATGTCCGCATTACTGTATTCAGTTTTGAAGGGTAAGGATGCTGGTGAAATTACAGGCAAATTCAAATCTTTGCGATTTAAAGCTCTGAGTGGCACTGCAACTGTTATGGACAGGCGTGTAGCTTACCATCAGGCGCACGACTTGTTCGTCCCGTCACTTGATATTGTAAAAAAAATGCAACTACAGACAACAGAGCCGCAGCTTGATTTTGATCGCCTCTCCCGATCGGAAACTGGGTTCTTCCTTTGCGATTCACAACTGGCCGATCGGAAACTTTTGACATTTCTAATCGGAACAATAGTTGATTTAACTCACAAATTAGAAAGATATAGTAAGAATCAGATTCATCTTCTCGTTCGGAAACCCATCTGATTTCAAGACTCGGATGGGCTACCAGATCGGATCAATTCCCATTTGAATTAATAATCAGCCTGCTGGACTCCAAAATTGCTAATTTTCTTCAAACCACTGATTATATTGCAGTTGTGATAATATTGGTTGCTCTGCTAATATCTAGTTGCAATGGCAGTTGAGTCTCAATAGTGACAGTGGAATTGCAGTGAAGGCCTTCATTCATTGGTTCACTAACGATCGATATTGTCTTACTAAAACCACCATTGCAAATTACTATGCGTATCGTATAATTGTAAGTCAATGGCGTATCTTAATTTTTATATTATAGTATTAGTACACTACGCCATGGACATGCCATGGACTAGCCATTAAGAGTCTATACAACCTCAAATGGCTTTGGTTGATACCGCATAAAAGTGAAAGTGTTAATCAATTACTTTAGAAAAAAATATGTAGCCAATTTGAGGATATACGTATAGTAATATATGGTGTGGTGTATATAAAACACTATTACTAAAAATTTTCACGATAGAAAAAAAAACTTATCTCAAAATTTTACAAGAAAACTGCTGTATTCAATAGGTACTTTATATAAACCAATGATTTTTTTAAATATAACCTGCCCCCGTAGCATGGCTACGCATGATAGTCGCGACGCGCGCAATAAAATTGAAATAACCGCGAGCTATTGGCTATCTAAATTAGATCTGATTGAGACAGCCAATAGCCCACGCTTATTCCAATTTTATCGCGCGCGTCGCGACTAACATGTGTAGCCATACTACGGGGGCTGAACTAAATAGAACACGTATACCTATACGATGTACATTTTCCAAGGGCTTTAATTTCGTTTGTAAAAAAAAAATCTGTTCAAAAAGCCCTCGATCTAAGCAAAATGAATATATTAGAGGTAGTAGACTTTTAACAGCTGTATGGCTAGCCACTGACAAAACTGAAACTGTTAGCAGAATACTAAACGCGCAAAATCCTGCCATTGACATTATATCATCACAAAACTGAGATGATATTATAAAACGAGCATACTTGGGGCCTTTTTGTTTGAGTCCACTCGCAGCTAATTAAGAGCCTTATCACACTGGCGATTTGCGAGCGATTTGAAAGCGACGCGACAGCGCGGCGTACCTACCACGAGCTCCCGCAGTGAGCACGGCAGTGTGATAGGGCTCTTAGAGTCATTCAACAGAAGTGATATCCTCCTTCTCTTGGAACTTGGAGCAAGTACACCTTCAATCAACTTTCTCCACTGCACTTTGTGTTTGTCTAGGTGGAATGCGACACTCACAGGTACTGCCAGTCATCGTTCCGAACTTTAACATCTAGGTCGTTTGCCCTCTATCCTGTCAGTAACAATCACTCTGTCTAGCGCCTCTGCTACTGATATCTTTATAGGGCATAGGACAGACTTCTAATCATGATAGTATTCAATAAAATAAGTATTGCAATTATACAGTGACATCTCTCGTCAACGCGTGATAGCTGTAAAGGTTTATCAGTAGCAATAGAGCTCCTTGTGAAAGAGTTCGTCCAGGGTAGTACTGCCACCTTACTCATTTATGCCGTCAAACAGTAATGTGAGCATTACGGTTTCCGGTTTTGAAGGGTAAGGGTGCTGGTGAAATTACAGATACATGGGACTTGTCAACTTATGTCTCAGGGTGACGAGCGCGGTGGCGGTGTCCCTCAAATATTTGCAATTTAAAACTCTGAGTGGCATTGCACCTGTTATGGTCAGGCAAGTAGCTTACGATCAGGTCCACGACTTGTTTGTCCCGTCACTTGATATTATAAAAAAAAGGTTCCTGACTGAGTGAAGAACTTTCATAAGTTTGTCACAAATGGCACTGACGGCATAGCCGTTAAAACCCAATACAACGATGCAACAAACATAAATTCGTAAGATCTGCTTCCTCGGTCTGCAGCTCAGTTGGTAAAAACGTTGACCCCGGTGAGGCAAAAGACACTGGTTCGAGTCCAGTCAGATCTTTGTATTAATAATAATAACAAACTTGTAGAGTATTTTCACGAAAACTACGAAAATATGGTTGTAAAAAAATTACATTAAATATATATCAAACTTCTAATCTTTTTAATTTTAAAAACCAAGAGGTTTCACGAGAAAACTCGCGCCGTTTCTGTTACAAATTTCAAGCTCTCTCTCGCTCTTTGGACCCCATAAATTGCCGCTAAACAATTGTCTCCTTTGTTTTCTAAATAAACATGTCTGCTCTCAGCCGATAATAAAACAATAGCAATAAGGAAAGAAACACCTTTGCAAAAAGGCAAGTGCCGAGTGGTAATAAGGTTCATTTTGTTCTGTTGTTCACGGTTTAGAATTTATTTTCGGCTATTTGGTACAGTTAATTCGTAAAAGGAAGCTATTGTTTCCGGAAATTGATTTATAATCAAGATTAAAGAAGATTGTTCAGATTTTTAAAGGTATAATTCAAAAAGTCGTCACTATCTTTGAAAAATAATTTATTTTGCTATTTTTGGAAAGTACACTTTTCACTGTCTTGCAATTCGGCATAACAGTTAATAAATCATTACTTTGTATGGATAGTCGAACTAATTATACCTCCAAGAACTGCAGTCAAAAAGCTCCACTGTGACAAGTAAAAATATAAAGAACATTGTTTCAACTTATAGGCACAGGTTGCTCGTACATAAAAGCTTCCTACGCCTCGACCCACAAAATGGCGGCCTAACACTGTATTACGTCTCAGCGCCAAATATGTTACAAAGTGTTCTAAGCAACGATATGAACTTGAGTCTGAGGTCTATTCCTGTTCTCTATCCTACATCCGTCCGTAACGATTACTGTCAAATAATTAATATTCAACCAAAGTAAAAGACGGATGATGCGAGTGAAGGTTCATACATGACATTATCTTTTCGATTTAGTCGAGTAGGTACCTACATCGAGTATATAACCAGAAATAGAAGCGAAATGTCATTTATTTTGTTAGAAAACTAATCTGCCAAATGAAACTGGTGACAACTGCGTTCCGATTGGCCAGCCCGAATTCGAAATATGCGTTAGAGTTTGGCAAGCAAATATTATCGAAATCGATAGTCAAGATATATGTATATATATATATACATATATCGATGTGTCCTAAGTAGAAGGGCCAAACTAACAATTTGATCATTTTCACTTCTTCGTTGTGTTTTTTTATAACGCACACATTCGACATAGCCCCGCACGGAGAAAACCCTGTGTCGCGGGTGCCATGGACACACATATAGACAACCACAAATTACACCCAAACTCACGAGAAAAACAAATGTAGGCCATACAGATATTTCTCCCGGCCCGGGAATCGAACCTGGGACCTCTGCGTGGCAGTCCGGCATGGCAACCGTTCGGCCACGGAGGCAGCAGAAATGCTTCATTTCATTATATAATTTTACACGACTGCCCAAACAAAGGAGCATAATGTTTTCATGGTGAATATATGTAAGGAAATATCGTTTATTGATTCCTCTGTAACTTCTGAATGTTTTAACCAATTTCGAATTGAGTAGTATTGTTAGAATCCATAGTCAGTTCGAGTGAGCATGGCATTGGATATCAAAAAATGTCAAAACACAATTTTGTACTGACAGCAAACAAAAAAATACAGTAGTGAATACCATGGTTGTTTCATTGCTTCACAACCTAGTTTGACTTGTTACGACAGATCAATTAAAAGTTGCGGAAGCGAAATTTAAGCGGCACAATTTCTGAACAAGCAAACAATAAGACTTAAAAATAATTTCGAAATACTGCTTACCCGTAATTCCAGAGACTAGGGATCGTTCCAAGATACCTTCATTTCTGTCTGCCAACATTGCACCTGAAGTCAACGCCACGGCCAAGAAAAAGATGATTCTGCACAAAAGCATTGTGATTTAGTATTAATACTCCCAGAAGGCACATTTTACTTAATTTCATAAATTACTTACGTAAGAATGATTCCCGGTCCAGCGAAATCTGTGAAGTTTGGTACATCTAATCCATATACAGGGTTATTGAACTGCAATGAAATAAAAAAATCTTTATTACTTTCGAACCCAATATCAAATTTGCTTGTTGTAAGGCCCTACTGTCACTAAAATGACCCTACCCAGTCTACGAGAAAAAAATGACTTAACCTGTTTAATTTTCCTCAACAAAATATTATAATTTTTCTGTCCTAACAATAACAGCAATAAAAACCAAATTACCCGTAA